ATTAGTTAACCTCGAAAAATACCCTAAACCCTACTTAATGAACCCTAATTAACACAGAAACCCTAAACCCTAATTAATACAGAAACCCTAAACCCTAACTAATACAGAAACCCTAAACCCCAACACATAAACCCCTCGAAAAGACGAAGAGTTGAGCTGCTAAGCCCTAAACTCTAAACCCTAAACCCTAAACCCTAAACCGTGCTCGCCATGGGTAGCTGCCCGGAGCCCGCAAAGCGTCGCCGAGGCAAACTGACTGTGCTCGGCCTGGGTCTGGGGTGGGTCTCCGGGTTTTTTGGGTTTAGGGTTTAGGGGTTTAGGGTTTAGGGTTTAGGGTTTAGGGTTTAGGGTTTAGGGTTTAGGGTTTAGGGTTTAGGGTTTAGGGTTTTTGGTGTTTGGTTTAGGGTCTAGGGTTTAAGGTTTTAAAGGTTTAGGGGATTAGGGGCTTTAGGGTCTAGGGTACAGTTTGTGGCGTGGCGCTTCTCACTTCGTGCTGGCCATCTCTTGCAAGGCGGTGTAGGGTTTAGGGTTTAGGGTTTAGGGTTTAGGGTTTAATGCTTGCTCATGCCAGTTTCCCGACCCCACCGGAACCCTAGGGTTTAGGGTTTAGGGTTTAGGGTTTAGGGTTTAGGGTTTAGGGTTTAGGAACCCTGATCCTGATAGCCTGGCTCAATGCCCCAAGCTCAGGAACAGGACAACAAACACAGAACGGAAACTTGACAACAATCAATGCACGGCCAGCGCTCTCCACAAAGCACCTCCAAAACTGAATCACCCCGAATCGCAAGACGTGTCTAAGGTGTAGCTGAATGTAGCTGAAGTCAGTTGAGGTCTCGACTCCTACGCGCATCTGAACATGCCACTTTCGGATCGCTCTGAAGCGGGCGGCAGGACTGCGCCTGAGGCGCCATCGTCTCAGGGTTTAGGGTTTAGGGTTTCTCACGGTTCAGATCACAATCAGCCAAGGCTCTATAGTACACCCTAAACCCTAAACCCATACGGTCTTAGGGCTGAGCTTGTTCCTAAGCTCCTGGGTCATCGAGTTGGGGTTAAGGGTCTATGGATTCGGGTTCAGGTTCATTTACCTCGGCTATGTTGCTGCCACCGTGTGCTGCCAAAGCCTTTTGCTGAAGGAACATCGAAACACAGACTTAGTGAGCTCTTTTGATTTGCACAGTCGCACCGTGCCAATTTCATCTATCCAAGAGAGTTCGGAAATACGTTTGGCAGTCAGATAAAATACGCTACCTTCCAGATGCCGCATGTGATCGAGAAGGGAACATCTGAAATCTGGACGTAACGGTCCTGGGAGTTGCATGACAAACTTGTGCAGGCCGAAACATCATCAAAGTTGTTTCCGACCGACAAGCCTTGCCTCGAAATCTGTCCAGGGCCTCAGAGCTGACAGAAGCACATTCTCTTGTTCTCAGCTGTCGTGCCTTTGACATCATGCTGGCTCCCAGCACATGCTCTGACAGAAGAATGCCATACTGCCTTTGGGTGGTTGTCAAAATTAGGGTCCCTTTTTGGGTCCTTATCATAATACGGCACCTATTATTTAGGGTACCCCAAAAGGGACCATAATTTTGCAAGTACCCATATCAGACAAGCGGCAAATCAGCACAAATCGCCATTGATCCCACATTCAGGTGATCAAGCTTGGGCCAGACTGAACGGCCAAGCGACAAAAACGTATACTGGACTGTGGCTTCTACTATGTTGCTTTTGGGTACCACGCAAACTCCATAAGTTAGCTCAACGCCCAATATCTCCACATATCTCCACTAGTCCATGCTGCCAGCTCCCCCAACATCCCCAAAGCCTAAACCCTAACTCCCAAGTTGTTCGGCTTTCGGACATGTCGAGCTTGAACCAACAAACCCGAGATCCTCATGGCAACTCATCCCCCAATACCCTAATACCCCAATGCCCCAAGACCCCAAGACCCCAAGACCCAATACCCTAATACCCTAATGCATTGAATGCCCAAAACCCCATTTCCCCCCCCAAGGTGCGCAAAACTTAGCTTTATTGGTTCGTCACGCCACACCCATGGATCAGATGGATCACTGGCTTCGGGGGTGGGGCGCGTGAGGTGTTCAGGAAGCAGGGATTTGTTGCGAGGTCTCGAGACATTTCTACGTCCTCCCTCAGCAAGACTCTGCCACTTACCAAAAGATCCTTCCACACAAGGTGTGAGACCCCTCTTCTTTTTAAGGCAACTTTCCGAAAGTAGCGCGAAGAACGAAAACCACACACACACACAAAGCAGCTTTCGTAGGGTTCAGATGATCTCGTCATCCGGGACCATTGGCGTTGCTAGCGGTTAGCGGCTGGTTAGCATCTTCAGGGTTATTGGCACGGCGGTGGCCACATTAACGTGGAGATGGGCTCAAGCTGAATCGGGCAACCACAACCAACACGAAGTGGCCGCTATTGCACTCGCCGGGAATTAAGCATCTGGAACCATTTTCATCCAACTTGCGGCATGGTCTTGCCCAAGGCAGTATCCTCTCAAATAAATGAAGGCGGAAAGAACCCGGGCATCCTGCGACGCATTCAACCATGTGAAGTCTGACCACTGTGGCCAGTATCTCTCTGGTGCTGGTGTGTTGTATAGGGGAGATTATTAACACAATTAATTTTGAACCCCCAGTACAAGTTTTTTTGCAGCTGGGGCCAAGTTAGAGCGCGGCTGTTTCGAAACGCTGACCTCACTTTGGGCTGCTTTGAGGCGAAAACAACCCAACTAGCGCACGCTCTGTTTCGAAAACAGTGTCACAACTAGCTGTCCCGCAGTCTCGAGGCAGCACTTCCGCAGTCTGGCACTGGGTCCCACCAGAAGGTCACTACAAGGTCACTACATGGGGCCTTTTGGGTCGATTCGCCACTTTCGCAGTGCTCCTGTCTTGGCGGTCCCAGTCCCGGTCCCGCTGGCACTCCAGTCGGCAGTCCCGCGGAAGTCCCACGGCAGTTGCAAGGGGCGTAGACACAGGCGTTGCCACAGGGTAACCACAGCATAACCACAGCGTAACCACAGCGTAGACACAAAGTTGAAAAAAAAATTAAGGTTCGCTACAACCTTCTTTCCAACGCGCAAACCGTCAATACTCAAACCGCCAGTATCAATTGGTCCTTTCGTTCGGCCGTTCAGTTTCGAGGCAGTTCTGCCGCAGTCGAGCCTCTGGCCCCAGCCCTGATTTTCGCCTGTTTCTTGCAGTTTCGAGGCCAGAGGAGCAGTAGTGGAGCAGCAGGGGAGCAGCAGAGGAGCAGCAGAGGATCATCAAAGCAACATCTGCGGAGCGTCACAGAAGCAAAAAACAAGTTGAGGTTTCTACACGTTTCTTCCTGCGGATCAAGCGGTGGGGAGCGCTCTAAAAGGAACAACCTCCAATCGCGCTGTCGGCGGTCCTTTGCTGTGTTTTTGGAAGGCGAGTCGCAGCTGTAATCTCAGGTTCGGAGGCTTCCTTTCTTTATACCATCCTCTGGTTGCACAACTGCCCCACATCTGCCACAAAATGCCCAAAATGCGACCCCGCTGCCAGTCAATAGCCGCACAACTGTCCGAACTCTGTCCTAAAACTGCCTCTCTGCCAGGCGGCGGGCTGCACAACCGCCCCAAATCTGCCCAAGCGACCCCAACAACCCCCCGAATCTGCCCGAAAGTTGTCCAAAAAAGTGGATCCATCGAGTCCTGCCCCCTCGACTGGCCTGGATCACAAAGGATTCGCAAATTTTTGGTTGGAGCCCTTCCAGAAGGCGGCCCTAGCGGCCGAGAGTGCGCAGCGAGCCCACAAGTGGCACAACCCCACAGAACCGCAAAACAAGCCAACGTCAGACCCGAAACAGCAGCAGACCAGCAAACCAGCCAAAGACGAACAGCACGAGCAGACAGAGAGGCAGCAGACGTTTGTTTTTGCCTGCGGAGTGCGCATGTCGCTACCCCAGTTCCAACCCCACAGGCCTGAGGCAACAGCTGCCACAAATACACAGAGGCAACCATGCAAAATATCCACGGCCAAAAAAAGAACCCTCTTTGCTACGCTCACTCTGGTCCCAAACCTTGCCCCTTTTTTCCACACTCTTGCACAAGCTTCGGTGATGCGAGCTAAGGTGCCAAATCTGGGGTTTATAGCCGGGATGCTTCCCGCCCTAAAACATTGGTTACTGCAACTCGCTGCGAAATGGCATGCAGAGTTTAGTTTCTCATTGGGGATTGCATTGACGAAACTTTCGTCTTCTGTATCGCCCAGCGCTCACGAGAGCGGCCTCGGGCACAGGCTCAACAACAGCTTCTGCGCAAGCACAGGCCGGGAGTCAACAGCGCAAAATACCGACGTGCGACAGGCCCTGAATCTGAGTGGCTCTGCTGTGGCTCCGGCTGGCTTACGGAAGCATGAATCCGTAGCAATTCTCCCTAGGCTGAACTGCGGCACGAACGAGAAGGAATGAACAAAATTATCTAAGAAGCGGACTCGGTCGTGTCACGCAGCGGCGCACTCATCTTTGTCTCTTGCTTCCACTTGCCATGCTGCAAGACGGGAGCACTTGTAAGGTTGCAAAGGTGAGCAAACGCTGCAACTCTGCGGGGGGCCTCCTTGCTGTAAATCAAAAGTTGATAGGCATCGCAAGCAATGCTGCTAGGATTCTCCTGTTTGATGGCCTTCGCAACATCGCGGCTTGCCATCACAGAACACAGCAACAGACGCACTCAGCTCTGGACCTTCTTCAAACTATCCACCTCGGGATGCGGCACTCAAATCTTCGCAAGTCCCTGCAACAAAATGCAAACGCACCAAGTTTGGGCCATCGACATTTCCCACAGCCTCCATGATTTGGAAGGCAGGAAGGTTTTCATCGTAGTTTTGGCCGACCTGCGAGTTTCAGGGCCAGATGCTGCTCGCGAAGAGTCCTCTACCGACTCCACCGCAACGCTGCCCCACCCCCTCCTGCTGCAAAAGAAACCCAAACAGGAGCCACAAGCGCACAGTTGCGGCAAGTCATGCAACGCCACAGGCTCTCGTCACCACAAGACCGTGCCTTACATGCCTGTGCTGCCGTCCTGGGGCGGGGATGCCTAGTTCGTTGTGTGGGACGGGAGGCAGGGCAGCTCTTCTATTGCCACAGAAGCCCGGCCGCGGGGCCTCGTCGAAGACGAGCTGCCGCACCCAAGTGATGGGAGTGGCAGGTGTGGCTGTTGCTGGAGGACCTGTCAATCAAACGAGCGGCACGCCAATGCAGTTCATCAGTTTAATCCCTCCACTCAAAAAAAGTGA